GTATACTTGAAATATACAGGGTGGGCCATCTATTGGTACGTTTTTGAATTTCGTCGTATGGCAAGACCGAACTAGTTACAGCCCCGAATTTTTTTCTGTTTTTGACAGTTTATTAGTCATACCGTCCGCGGCACGAAACAACATGTTTTCTCTTGAAGAGCGTTTTGAAATTTTAAAAACTTATTTTCAAAGTCAGTGCTGTGTCGCCGAAACTGTACGAATTTTGAAAAGAAATATGGGTCGTGATAGAGCACCCACCGAAGGAGCTATACGCAAATTGGTGAGGAAAGTTCGTGAGAAAGGGATGTTAGTGGATGACAGAAGTGGTCCCAGAGCTCGGACAGTGCGCACACCCGAGAATATTGAGGCTGTGGCCCAAAGTGTGAGACAATTCCAGCTTTGAAAAACAATATTACGACTGTTTTGAGTGAAATTGGCGCCGAGGTAGTCCAAAATGTCATTAATAATTGGGGTGACCGAATGGCATACTGTAAGGCCAGTAGAGGGAGCCACATGAACGAAATCGTTTTTCATTCTTGACGCGGATACTTTTAGCTTCACAACAAAAAAAAAAATTAATAAAAAATATCAATGTATGCTCATTTGATCGCATTTTTAAAAACGTACCAATAGATGGCCCACCCTGTAGAATTCACATTACGTACGACAATCAGTCATACGATATCCGACATTCATCGTAACAATAATGGCCGCAGCACAAATTCTTGCATAATGCATAATGCATAGTGCGTAAGGGAATCAACTAATCGAAATTTTTCTTTTCCATGGAATAGGAGGAAAGGAAAGATTCTGATTAGTTGATTTGCTTATGCACTATGCGTTAAGCATCATGCAAAAGTCTGTGCTGTAACCTTAACGGACCTTGTCGTATGTAGTGTGGAGAGCATAGATTTTTGCATAACGGATAAAACATGAGGCATAAGAAAATCAGCCAATCAGAATCTTTATTTTAGGGAAAGGAAGGAAATAAAAGATTCGTTTATTTTCTTATGCCTCATGTGTTATGCAAGAGTCTGTGCTCCCCGTTTATATTTCAAGTACGCTGAGTTCATTCGGAGCGACCCCGAGCAGCTCCCGAGAGACAAACGCACTATACTTATGTCCACAGCTGATTGGACAAATGTCCATATAGTTGGCATTACTTCATCGCAACCGTGCATGGCGCTTTAGTCGCTTCACTGGTTTCACGTCGATGACGCTCTTGCAGTGGTCGTGACGCGCGAATATGAGAGTGAATGTATGGAAGTCATGTATATACATATATACATGCATACACACATACATGATTTTGCTGTACGTTGCACGCGATGTACATAGGCGCGCGCGCGTGTGTCTATATTTGCGGCATTTGCGCACGGTACTTGCGAATTGACAGCTGCCAGCTGCTGCCAGCACGAGTAGTAAAAGTAGCGGATCATGTAAGGTGAGTTTTGTTACAAGAATTTAACATTATATAGAAGAATCTTATCTCTCTATCGTTACGTGCGATTGCTATAAAACTTGTATATTTTTGATGAAGGTAAAAGTTGACGTTTGCGTATCCGCTACGTCGACGACGCCGTGTTTTTCCATACAATTTCTCGTTCCCGATTTTTATGCGTAAATGACAACGCGTTGACACGTTCCTTACGATACCAATGCATTTTTATCGCTGGATTCCTGCAAGTATTCTGAAAGCTTTGATCGTTACAGGACCTTTCGGGTTAAAGAGACAATTTGCCATCCTACAAGTGTTTGCACTGCTAAAGGGACACGTTAGAAGAGTTGGCAGGATAGGCAGACGCAAGAGCGGGCGAAGAAGGAGTAGAGGATCCAGAGGCAGAATGACACGTCCTCCAAATAATGACAATCTTATGACCTTTAAATTGGTCGTTGTTGGTGATGGAGGTGTCGGCAAAAGCGCGCTTACAATACAGTTTTTTCAAAAACTGTTTGTTGCAGACTATGATCCAACTATCGAGGATAGTTATATACAACACACAGAGGTAGACAAACAATGGTGTATCTTGGATGGTAAATATCTTTACATCTCTCTTACAAATAATTTTTTTTTTCTTTATCAATGTAGTATATTGAATGATTTTTATATATTTCTTCAAATTTATTACTTAACAAGAGATTAATCATTAAAAAATTTATACTTAAATTTATACTTTAATTAAAATTTTAATGCATATATTAGAAACATAGGACATTAAGAATAACTTTTCTCTCATGAATACTTATATGTTTGTTATATATTGCAGTATTAGATACAGCTGGTCAGGAAGAATTTAGTGCTATGCGTGAACAATATATGCGGAAAGGTGATGGATTTCTTTTGGTATATTCTGTGACCGATAAACAATCGTATCAAAACATTGTCAATTTTCATACTCAAATTTTACGAGTGAAAGATAGAGATATTTATCCTATGCTACTGGTAGCTAACAAAGTTGATCTAGTGCATTTGAGAAAAGTTACAGAGGAACAGGGAAGAGAATTAGCTTATCGTTTGGGCATACCTTATATTGAAACTTCTGCCAAAGATCCACCATTAAATGTAGACGTGGCATTTCATGAGGTAAAAATAAAAATAAAAGATGATTATTCCCGTTCATGTAAATTAATGTACAAATTTGGAATATTTGTTCAAGGTTGTTCGTATTATCAGAAATCAACCTCCGGCTGAATTGGAGAAAAATCAAAAAAAGCGACGGCGTACTGCAAAAAGGTGCAATATTTTGTAAATTTTGAAGACAAACTGCGCACATGTACAAGAACCAAGGACCATGGTGCTGCATCGTGCATTGACTTTGTTTCTGAGAAAGTACGTCCTTGAGTTTAGGAAAGCCATCAGAAAGAATGATTCTTTCGTTCTTCATTATAGGTATCTATGTTCTACTATTTTCCATCTTTTGCTGTTTATTATATCATAGCATTAACAAGTGCTATGAAGTATCGTTTTTTTTATACTATGTAAACAATATTTATAAAGAGTATTTATCATAGAAGTGTGCCAATGAGAAATAAGAAGGTTTTGATGCCAATACTATAAAAATGAAATTAGATTTTTTTAAATCTAATTTAGGATTAATTTATTACAATATTTTTAGCAGAAAATAAGCATTTGAGATATTGACTGCATGATAAATTGAGATTACATCTCTGTCCATGTGTGCGTGTACACATCAAATTTTCTACCATCGAAAAAAAATACACACACACACACACACACACACATATGAAATTGAACGTTTTTTATTGCACACAATACATAATATTACAAGTTTTTTTACTTCTTCGCGTATTATAAGAAAAGTCCTTGTCATAAAATGACTACAATCATTTCGTCGATATCGAGCTCATCTTTGAAATAGTTGTTATAATTTTAAATGACTTTATTTTATTATAATATCCTTTTCCTTTTCTTTCATAATTAAGATATTCTCTTCACGACACTTTTCTAAATCAAACACATTAAATGTGTATCTTTTTATGACTCGAAGTCTCCCGTTTTTCTATTATATATTAGGAATATAATTATGACAATTGATTATTAATTATTTGCGTAGTTAATGAAAATGAAGCAGTATTGTATTGTACATTATTTCATTTTTTACATATTATAGCATATTATAACAAATTAAATATTATAGAAAAGGATTTGATGGTCAATAGATAAAAAAATTTTTAAATATGTTACAGAAACAATTAAAATTATTATTATATCTTTTATAGACACGTTTTATTAACAAGAGTTATACTATTCATTTATTTATTATTAATTATTTCAAAATGTTATATTGTAAATATCACTTGGTGTTTTAATTTTTATCTTAACAAAGATTTTTTTTATTGATAAAGATTAATTAGCTGTTGATATATATAATAAATTATTGTGAATCTAAATATAAGAAATAAAGTATTTAATATAAGGCAATATTGCCTCTGATAATAATGACTCACTTTCGGATATAAAGATCTGATGTACAAAAACTCATAATATTACGTTAATAAGATTGTCTTTACTTTATATAAAATTATAATGAAAAAGTGAAGGCACAAATGTAGCACAAATAATTTTATTTATTGCATCTCGGCACAATTGTTATTTAAAAAAGAAATTCTTTATCATTAATCTTATCTCATAGATGCCTGGAGGAAATTATAATAAAATCAAATTTCAATTATAATAAAATTGTAAACAGTGAAAATTATTTTCTCTATTTACATACACAGGGTGTGCCGTAAGTTTTTGCGAAGCGCTTTTGTGTAGATAGAGCGGACTAAACTAAGTCGAAAAATCCTTTACCTTGTGCAATTTTCGCAATGGTTGACGAAATATTAATTACTAAAAATCGCTGAATATTGGTTTTCAATAATTTTTTAGTCAAATACTATCAATTTTACAGAAAAACAGCATAACAAAAATTGTTTATTTTCTTCTCATAAAGTTCTGAGAATGTTTTCAGAATTTTTTCAGAATTTTTTAATACCGTATTTTCTTGTTGGTAAAAATAAGAAAATGCAGTACTAAAAAGTTGATGAAAAATTCTGAAAACATTCTTAAAGTTCTATGAGAAGACAATTAATGATTTTTATATCTTGCAGTTTTTTTTGTAAAGTTGATAGTATTTGAATAAAAAATTATTGAAGACTAATATTCGGTAATTTTTAGTATTTAATATTTCATTAACTATTGCGAAAATTGTAAAAGGATAAAGGACTCGATTCAGTTTAGTCCGCTCTATCTACACAAAAGCGCTTAGCGAATGTCCCTTATGAGACATCCGCATTTATATATGCGTGTGTTTATAATTATTGTATCTATTATATTATATATATATATCCTTTTATATTACACATATTATTTTTGTAATATAGAAATAATTTGATTTGTATTCAGCAATGTTAAGACTGATGAATTTGATTTGTTAAATTGACAGAGATATTTAGTTTAAAAGATAGCATTATATTAGTTATTTTTTTGTTACGTTATGTATATTACTAGAGGAAGTATATATCTTATAATTGTTTGTTATTATTAATTGTTATTATTGATAGAATACTTTGGATACCAAATAATAAATTATGGTGTCACTTATGAATTAAAACATTCTTGTTGTACCAAGAATGTTTAAACATTATTTTACCTCATTTTCATATTGCTCATGGCGTAATATATGAATTAGATGCGTTTGATGTTGAATTGTATTTATAATTGTCTATTTATGATCGTTTGAATAATTTATTATTTATTTTATTTATTTTGAATAAATAATTCATTTGATTTTAAATTACCAAACATGCGTATATCAGATCTTTTTACTAAAAGAATAATATCATGGCCTATATTAGTGTTTAAATGTAAAGAAAAATCTATATTAGTTTATATATTTAAGAAAGCACCTCTATATACATATGTGTGCGCGTTTATAAACTAAAGATTGATGTTACATGTTCAAATGATTCTTAATATAAATTATTTCTCATGCTTGTGGAAAACGTCGATGTTATGATCTTTCACAATTGTATCGCGTTTTATCGTGCGTATATAATCTAATTTAATTTCTAACTGCGAAGAGACTAAGAAACTTCGCATGTTTATACATATTTTTACACATGCTTACATATCTTTGCACATAAACTATTTTCTCTTGTGTTGCGATATAATCGAACTTTCATATATGCTATAATTCTGATGTAAAATTATAAATTTTCTATTTTCTTTTATCTATGTACAATACTATAGGCTTTCTTCTCTCCTTATGGATGGATATGCAATATTCGCAGTATTAATATTATTGTGATTACATATTATACGCAAGACTAATTGACTGGTACGTAAACATTCTGCTAGTATGCAAAGTCTTGATTATTATTCGAACATATAACTTGATCGATATGTTACATAGTTTTTTTTAGTATTACGTATTTTTTATAAATTTTTATCGTTGCTATTAAGTGTCGCAATCTGTGAAAGTGCCATAAAAATAATTAAATATTATTAAATTATATATAATTGTCATTGATTTTACATATATAGTACGGTTTTCTATTATAATCATTTTATTCTGAAAGCGTATAAAAAACTGTTTCAAACCGTTCGATTAGAGGATTATTTTGGCTGTTATCTCTGACAAATATGTGACAACATATTTTTAGATTTAGGTGGTATCTAAATACCTACTTCTTAGTTTTTTTTTTTTTTTTTTTTTTTTTTTTAATGTATGAAAGACCATACGAAAAAATGATCCTTTAATTACTTGGAACACCGCAGTATTTACATTTAATTATAAATATGATATATCGCTTTTTATCTACTGATAATCGTTCTGAAACTATTTGGATCTGAACGTAGAAATATGAAAGAATATATAGAGAAAATGGCCCAATTTTAAATAATGTATTTTAATTTCACCGAAATTTTTGTTCTAAAAAAAATTTACACAAAATTTGTAATGTGACAGCAATTTAATAAGCCTTTTCTTCAAAGGCTTTTAAATTTTTAAAAATATTTTTTTGTTAAATTCATAATGTCGATGAGATATACCAATGCATTTTTTAAAAATCAAACCGTCTTACAATTGATTTTTATAAATATATATCTATTTACGTTATATATATTATATGTATTATTTGGAGACACTGGTAATGTCTCGGCGCTAAGCTACGCGCAGCGACACTGCCGTGGTTACTTTACGCGAGCCGGCGATAATATATACGTGAGATTAAAAGCAGGGCATCGCGAATATAGTAATATTCGCATCTCCTAGTAATATTATTTTAAACATAAAGTAAAAAAGAAAAATTTGTAACCCTCAAACTTTTATAGCTCTCTCGTGCGAAATATCTTATAATATCTGGACCGTGCACAAAAAACTCATTTTCATTTAATTGTGAGAATATTTCGGTCGTTATTCTTGCAATGGAAACGATTGTCAAGTAAAAGGGAGAGATTGAGATAGCGCCGTCATGCGTGTCTCGTTTGAAATTTTAGATACTCAGGATTTATTAGTGTTCCTTAGATACTCACGCGTCACATGATCTATAATAAAGCTGCGTCGTTTTTATCACTGTCCATGGAGGAATGGATAAAGGCAGTAAGGTACAGAGTTATGTTCAGGCGTGGGCGGATGAGGCTCATTTACGCGCGTGAGCGAGGCCAAAAATGGAAATTTGAAAGCACGATACATATTTGTAACAATAGAAATGCGATTCGAGTGTACTTGAATATATATATATACGTAAACATGTCAAGTGAACAGAAAGTCTCCATGGACTTAGATATGATTAAAAACGTTGCAAGATTGAAGTTAGAAAAGTGATCGCAGAATATATATATGCATATTCAACCATGAGCATCGCGAAATAACAAAAGTCACATTTAGGGTGAAAAATCGATAATACGTTTACAACACGCTTTTAGAAGTTTAAAGAAAATTATCTATAAAATAGTCAATATATTAAACCATTGTGATATTGAAAATATTAAAAAGATTCTAGTGAATGTGTGCAGATCAAGGTTGTGAGAGTAATCATCGAAAGGCCGTGAGAACGAACGGCTAATTTCTCATTTCAATGATATCCATCATTTCTCAAGAGTTTATCTTTGTCGATCATCAAATTCATTATTATTACTATTATTCGTTGCGTTCGAACGCACGAACGTACCATTATTGTGTAAATTTTTGCAGAAAGAAATTATAGACTAATATACATGAGAACAATGAGTGAGAGAGAGAGAGAGAGAGAGAGAGAGAGAGAGAGAGAGCGCTACGAGAATTATATATTTTGAAAAAATGAACAAAACGAGAAATTTCTCTCTTTTTCGCTTTGCGAATATAGATTTACATATAAAATATTATACTTGTATACCGAGAAAAATATGTGAAAATATACATGCTGTTATTATATTATATTAAGTATATTATATGTTGTATATATATGATTTTTCGTATAAAATATATATGTACATATAAGTGCATATGCGTGTACAGGTATATACGAATATGTACGCACGACCTGAACGCGTGTAACTTTTTTTAGTTTTTTGTTGATATTTTGTGTGCGAGTGTTTGTGCGTACGATGCGTATAAGCGTGTCACTAACTATATGCTGCATGTATGACGTACCTTGATAATAAAATTATAACTCGTGTTTACAGCTACGTCTCTCTATGTATTCCATTCTATTTTAAGCTGTATGTAGATCAAATAAAGAGCGCGATCGCGATTGAATCTGTTTCAATGAGCGTGGACAACATCATGAGTACGAACGAGTCCAAATATACATTTATTGGTAAATGCGTTTTAATTCTGTTCAGTACATACATTTAAAAAAAAAAGAGCTGGCTATATTCGTTCATGTTTGTCGTAAATAGATCATTCTTGATCATTCATCTTTGCTCAACTTTGCTTAACTTTAAATATATCATTGTGCACAGTCTTC